AACCGGTACAAAGTTACAAAGACAGCTAATAAAATGGTCGGCCTACTTAGAGAGAATGCCCAATACTAAACAATGAATTCATCAAAAGACAGGTAGATTAAGGGGTACACCAAGAATAAGATGGAAAGATATCAGGGAAACTCTACAACAACACAATGTATCTATGTTCCAGGCATCTATATATCCCTAATTCATTCACGATCACACAAACATCATTACAAAATTATCATCTGTATAGTATTTACCTTGTTTTTAAATTTAGTAATTTCAAGGGTAGAGTAGATGAGGCAGGCCAAGAAAGATCTCAAAGCAAAATTTAGCTGACCATTGTCTCAAATATGAAAGCATCAAGTTCTGTGCATTTGATTGCCAGTAATGGAGAGAGCAGATTGAACAATCGATAGTAACTATCAGACCAAAGGACACTAAATTTTACAACAGTAAAGATAAAACGTCAACATAACAAAGCAGCTTACCAGGTAAATATGAACAATGCTACCTCATTATGAAACAATCAAGCAGGTGCCATCCCTACAATAAAGGTTGACTGCAATGGATCTCCAAAACCCTCTCTTGTCCTTTTGCAGATTGCTGCCTGTCCATCACTTGATGTTACCCTTCCACTTGTATCGTTGCCCACCTCCTACTCTCTTGCCTTCGACCTTTTCCTCACATATTGTTTTTTAAAGCGTGTTTTATCTTTTTATGTTGCCAAAGTTTTTCAACTGTCTCTTTTTTTATTTCAGTAATTCTCTTTGCACTTGTAGTCTTTCCAGAACCTCTGTATTATACTGTTTTTGTTTCATTGAAATATGACCTATTCTTCTGAATACCCAAATTTCCAGGGACTCAGATTTTCATCATTATCACTACATTATCATAACAACCCTATTTAACTGGGTCACCAGTTTCTGTTGACTGTCTGATCAGTTCACTTCACCTTTACCCAGCTGATGCACTGAACTTGGTATATTTAAGGCCAATCCATTCAGTAAAATTCTGCGTCCACTTCATTCTTGACCAGTCCCTTCTTTTCCTTTCTACTGAGCCCTGTAGTGTTGTTATGGAGAGGCCCTTAGACATGATATTATCAAAATATTAAAAGCCCTTACCATTGAATTTTGTCTTTTACCTGTTGTTAAAAGAAGTTCATAATGACCAATGTTTTGAGTGATAATTTCTGAATTTCGTCATTTGTGATGTGGTGGTCTCTGTAGAAGGATACAAGAAGGATCTTTCAAACAAATCTAACTTCCAGTTGAGTCAAGAATTGACTCACAGCACTATGGGCATTCCCATGCATGCTCCGTACTCATCTTCAGTGCAGAGTTTCAATACTGATGGTACCAGTCACAATCTGTTTATATGTACGTCTTGCCTTTCCTCTGAGTGTAGTCAGCCGGCCAGACCCTCTGAATACACCCAGGTGCCTCATTCTCTCCAGGCCATAATAATCTTCTTTCTCTACTGATTCCGTTGCTTGTTCCCAAAGAGCCTTGACCACATCTTCCCTGTCATGTATCAATTTACCGCCCAGTGGTGCAGATTCAGCCAATCTGTCTGCTTGTTCATAACCCACCCAGCCAGCATAGCCTGGAGAAAAGATCCAAAGTATGTTCACTACCCATGACCTTTCCAGTGAAGCTTGCCACTCTGCTCGAAACACCCATGTCTTCACCTTTTTCAGCATGCTTTTAGAGTCTGTTACAATTACGACGTGAGTATGCATCTTGTTCTCTGGCCACCGGAGAGCTGCAGTTACCGCCTTCACCTCCATCCTCATGCTAGATGTTGTGGTGTCATATGCCTGACTGTCTTGCACTAAAGATGTTCCACTGGCTTTCGCTACAAACTCCGGGCACTTCTTTTTTCTCTCAGCCCCGAACCATCTGGATAAATTATCAGATCACCTGGGCGTGAATTGTAGTGAATCAACTGTTGGACTTCAACCTCTGTAACACCAGCTGGCCGCTCTCTGCACACCCGGCCCAATGTGATCATAGCCCTACACAGGTCAGACTTTTCCGCTAATACTCTGACCCACTCCTCTCCTCACCCAATGTTTTCCAGCATGCACACTTGTCCTATTGTGTCTTCTGCTTAAGCCATCCATGATTTTCCCTTTTTTCAGCCTCTGACCCTTGCCTGCAGCCAAAGCTACTCTGAGGTATGACTTAGCCTGCAGCACCTTTATGCCCAACTGCAAAAGTCGACAATGCAAGGATGTATCGCATATACACAATCAGGGTGTCTCTAGTACAACCCAAAATCAGCCGCATATTTTCATTCTGTATGCGCGCCAGTTTCTCTATCTGACTCTTCGAGACAGTGAGTAACCCCTATGATCTAACTGCCAATGTTTTATCTAGCTTTCAAATCTGGATGTTGAGGTCCATGTTTCACAGCTGTATAATGATGATTCATGATATAAAAAAAAACAGAAATGAAGAAGGATATAACTGATTAGTAATAAAGAAGTCAGTTCTAAAACTGTAGCAGGCACTCACTAGTGACCATAAGAAAGTTCTGTATGCTATATGGTACAATTCTGAATATAATAGAGAGAACAGGAATGCTTCTCTTACACCCTTCAAACTAATAATACACCATACGTTATATTGTTTACACCATTAGTATAAACCACAACCATCTGTTTCAGAATTACCAACAAATCACCATTTATACCAAGTGTTCAGCTCAGGCTTTGCATTGTCAAAAGTTTAAGAGGATCGACTTCACTGCACCAGGCTGTATCTCATACGGCTTGGTCTCTCTATGCAGAAAGGCTAGCCACCTGCCAAGAACACAGCACAATGCACAAACACTGTAGCTCTGGTGAAGATCCTCAGAGCCTCTCTGATCAATGTGGCCATGAAATGATCCTATGACCTTGATCACGTCACCAAAGCAATTACAATTAACTGTTTGACCAAATACAGCAGGCTAACTTTTTAAGTTGAGTCGTATATGGCCCACAAAGGATGTAATAAATATCCCAGAAATAACAACAAAGACAGAGTGTCTCGATGGTCATGCTTCGCAGCATACCTGGCCTGCAGCAAGGCGCTGTCGTCAACTGGAGGTGACAGATTTGATTCCCGGCACGGTAACTACAGACTCTGATTTTGTTGACTAGTGCTTTCTACCTTCTCTAATTCTGAGTGCTGATCAACACATGCCAAGATGTTTACCACACTATACATATCAGAATGGCTGAAGGAAGGGAAAATATGAATCACCACTCTCTGATCTAAACATGACATCAAACTCCCCCCCCCCCCCCCCCTTTTCCCCCATATCAAAATATATGGTATATTTGTTACAGTACATGTAGTCATTAATAAATCTGGGTAAGCTGGAATCATCAAATACTATAGATCCAAACAAAAAATAAGCTAACTATATAATAAAAAAACAATACATGCATACATGTAACTGATGCTTTATTTATAGGTTTCCCTAAACACTTGATCTGGAATAGGAGTAACTGCAGTCCAGCTGGTATTAAGAAATGAAGCCATCAATCATAAGCTACAACTAAGGTTTGAAGAAATAAGAGAAGTGTCTGGACAACTGCTAGTACCAATGGTTCTAAGGCAAATATTCTTGAATCATCCTAATAAGAAGTTAACAGAGAATTACCAGAAAGGAACTGGAATGGGACCGAAAGGGATTAGGAAAACAAGGGGAGGTCCTAATGGAGCAATGATGTGCAATACAAGACTCTTAATGTCTATTAGCCTCTCTTGCTCAAGCCTACCTCACCTTTACGTGGTGGACCCTGTTCTTCCCAGCAATCCAGTTGAAGGTTGGGGTCTCAACCCCCAGCGGGAAACTGAATGGGACCACAAACGAGGTAAAGGTGAAAGACGAATGGATGAGCCTACTCTCCTCGAGTATGATCACAGTCTATCCTAGCAAAACAAGATGCTGATGTCGGAGGCAACCAGCCAGGAGGTGCACCACAGCAATCAGGATGCCACACACACACGCCATGGAAATATGTCTAAATCAGCAAAAGACTGCAGATATAGACAACTTATTTCAGGCGACTGAAAGAAGAAGAAAGAAAACAAGGACAGGCAAGAGAAACCCTAAAACAAACGATGCGAGAGGCCAAAGCTGCCAGACTGGACTATATCCATAATGACAAAAATCGGTATCAATAGTTATAAGGCAAAGAAGACAGCACTACATTAGGATCATCCTAAGCAGCAGAGAAACACCAGTCAGACATTTAAACAGGGAAACGTGGACAACCAAGAGGTAAAGTGGACAGGATTGACTTCATTGCACAGGGTTTTATCCCAAATGGAGATACTGGAAGAGAGGTTTATAGATATATGACTGGCCCTGATCCTAATGACAGCATTAACCATCTAACAAGAAGGGACCAGGCCACCATCTTCAGACTCAGAACACAACACACTCCACTCAGTGGGCATCTAAACAGAATACAGCCACAACACTCCCCAGAATAGCAGCTATGTAACTACCCCTACGAAACTGTTAAACAACATCTCTTTGAGTGTCCAAAACTCAGCGAGACTAGAAGAATGCTACTTCCTCTGAGACCAGACAAGTGGAACACCTTGTACGGAGGAAAAGAACAGCTTGTGAAAACATGCAAATTCCACTACATGGCATTGGGCCAGAGGGCGAAAGCTAAAAGAGCTAGCCCAGAATTGAATGGTGTGACATCAGAATTGTAAAGGCTTTTATTTCACAGGAGGAAAACCAGGTAGCAGATAAAATAATGTACGTTCTCTGGTACAACCCTATTTTCATACACATAAAATAGGCTTCGAATCACAAAACAAAATCCGTACAGGACCTGAAAAACTACAACTGCAGTAAGTAGTCTGCTTAAAAATTTGGTTGCCTTGTCTTTGTACCTGATAATTTGATAACACGAAAATACATAAAATTCTCATTCCTATGGATACACTACAAACAAAAAAAGTGCTAACCCTAGCAGTTTCCTGTATATGAAAAGAGTTTTAATTGGAATCGGTATCTGTGTCAGAATCTGTGAAGTAAAAGTCCCCGTTGAGAAAGTTATACCTCAGAGCAAAACTATTGTTACTGTCATCATCATCATCGCTGTCAAACATCCCCAGCAGAACAAGAGACAGCTGGGCATCCAAAGACAGCAGATGCCCATCCTCCTCTCTCCGGGTGATGAAGTCCCATAAACTGTAATCCTCCTCCACGTCCCGTTCTCCTGCTGCATTTGTCCGCCTCCGCCGCCTGTGAATATTTTCATGAACAATGGTCCCGTTTTCTAAAGCGTGTTTATAGAAACAACGGTCATCGAAAGGGCATTCACCTTTACCCCGTTTGAAGTACTGGCAATATTTGGTGCTGGGGAGAATAAAAGAAAATTCATTGGACACATTACAATGCTCTTATGATAAACGCAATATATCAGTGTTTATATGATGCAACAAATTACAATATTTATGATAAGTACATCAAGGTTTTTGCAATAAAAAAATGAAATCATTATTTCTATAATGAATGTAATAAACTACATAATTTATGTAAAAGGCTATTTCACCCAGGGGTCAAAATATATAGACATAAAGACATAAACTGTCTTTACTTCTTCTTCTTCAAGTCCATGCTGTGTGGCGTTGGTAGTCAAGTCTATTCCCAACCTTCTGTCTCGTGTACTTTCAATCAACTCTTACACAGAAAATCATCCATGCCATGATGTCAAACTGTCCAGCATCTGTTCTCTCTCCCTCTGCCTCTCCTCCCCTCCAACTTTCCTTACCGTCACAATGTACTCCAGTTTTCTCCTTCTCATCACATGACCAAAGAATGTAGGTTGTCTCTTTCTAATGTGGGTCTGACTTTACAACAGAAGACAATTTATAAATATTTTGAATGGTCAGTTACAGAAACTGTTCTGATACAAAACACATATGGAATGTGTGTAGTAAAGCTAAGCAAAGTACATGTACAGTTAAAAAGTGTATATGCATACATTTCTTTAAACTGAAGCCGCTCTAGTATCAATTTTCAGAAACTGCACCCGATTTATGTCAAGCCAAATGTTAATTATGGCGTAAAGATAGATAATGGTCAAGGGCGAGTGACCAGGGAATCAGGTCAACACTCAAGGCTCACAGGAAAGGCAAAACGGACACATAATCAGACTGCTATTGGTAAACAGCTGTAAACTCAGATGGAAAGATCTTGCTGTTCATACACTTTGCTCTTGTTCACAAACTTCTTATTTGTATTCAGGTTGTTGGTTCCTTACCTCTAAGACTGAGGCACTGAATTCTAAGGAAGCTCCCACATAGTTGATTCTTATGACATGCTTGTTGGGGAGGCAGTGGGTCTATTCTTGTTTTCCCAACAATGAGGCACTAGAACCCACATGGGGAATATCAGTTTTACAGATCTGGATTATTTTCACTAGAATGTTTTATTTAGTTCTATCATAAAAGTTCCACATTTGGTAAATTATTTTATCGTACTTTGCTTTAAAAAAAAAAAAAAAAAGAATTTACGCAAAAGTCTTCTTTTCCATGATCACTGGCTGTAACCTCATTCGGAAAGTCCTGGTTGCCACCCACTTCTAAATTTGTTGTGTTTCAGGATTTGAATTTTAAGCACACCTCCATTTTACAAATCATTCTTATTTGAATGCAGACTGTTGGCCCCTTGGCTCTCAGGCAGATGCAGTCGACTTAAAAATAAAAACAGATCCTATTTCTAAGATAACCACGGCGAGGTGTAGATAGGTCTTCACCAGTGCCAGCTCTGGTTTTTTTAGCACTACCATAGGTGGTTCAGCACTTCTGGTGCACTACCGTGGTTCAAAACCTCTACATCACAGCTTGTGCTCATGGTGCACTACCATGTGTGGTTCAGCCCTCTGCAACATGGCTTCTGTATAAAGTTAATGAACACAACGATCGTTAACAAGAAATTAGGTGCAATGGAGAGACAACCAAAATAAAGAAAAATTACATGCCAACAAAAATCTGTGAACTCACCTCATTGCTTTTTTGTAATCATCAATAAGTTTTCTTTTTGCTTTTGGTGACTCCACCCAAAATTTACTAGGCGTTACAAAGTCAGAATGAGTTCGACAGGTTGGGCAAGTTCTGTTAAGGACAAGACCATAAAAATATTAATAGATATTTTATGATGAAATTTTCATAAGCCTGCCCCCTGACACGGTTGAGTTCAATATTTTATAGGGTGGTGAGGCTTTGTGGTGCTTTTAACTAACCCAAAACACCTAGAGTTGGACCTAACACCAACCCACCTACGTCCCATGAGAGAGTGCAGCCTAGACCCCACGCATGCATGCAGCCTAGATCCCCACAACTGCATGCAACCCTCTGAAATAGTAGAATGTTTGGGGTGAATAAAAACGAAAGCACCTGAAGTAACATAATATTCCATGTAACTCTATATTGTAAGTTCTTAAAGTCTCTTGAATGTTGCAGGGTCACTGTTGTGTCCCCTGAATCATCTACTTATCCCACCCTCCTGGAGAACACAGAGCATATCAGCCGGTCCACTGCTCTTCCTGTGCCTAACACGACCCTGCACCCTGCCAGCAAAGTCGATCCGCTCGAGATGTGTTATCATCAATCATTAAGTCCTTTGCAGAATGTCAATATCTTCATGAGATGATTAAAACTCTGTCACTAGCCCTATGTGCTTTAATAGCCAATGCATCTTTAATGTCCACCTTCATTGTCAGTCTCTGCCTCATGTTCCAGAAACTGCACCCTTCAAACCATTCTCCCTGGCCACCATGGTGTTTGACAAGGACAAAATACCTGTTTCTTAGGACAAAATGCTGTTTATGAGCCAATTCTCCTTGACATTCAGGTCATGACAGATGTCAGTGTTTTTCTTCTTCTTGGTCCAAAGTATTCGAAGAGTTTTCTGTAGCATTTCAGTTTAAAAGCATTTTTTTTTTTTCAAAGACTAAAGATTCCATGATTCATCCATAAGTTGCCATGAGAATAATGACATAAGTTGCCAAGAGAAAGATGTACGATCTCAAAAATTTTACTTTAACTTATTTGTGGGTGCCATGCCTTAGATTCTTAATACCGTTTAGCTTCTGCAATTGCTAAAGCAAGACTTGTTCTAATCCTTTTGGGGTTGCAGAGAAAATAATATTTTATTCTGAGCCCCAGTAACAGTTTTATTACAGATCTATCTCGACTTTCACTTGAGTGTTGAGTATTGGCCAGATTGCCCGGTAACTCCTCGCAGCACCATTCTCCTATAACTGTCATGATCTATTTGTGCCTCCGCACTGTTCACTGGCTCCCACAGGGCCCCTCACAACATCTATGCCTGTCACACATCAGTTCACCACCAAGTGGTGCAGAACCAGCCAGTCTATCCACCTGTTCATTTAGGAACACATTCGCATAACTTGGAGAAAATATCCAAAGGTTGCTAAATACCGGGTCCTCTGAATTGATGCATGCCACTCTGCAAGGAGCATACATGTCTCCACCTTGCTCAACATGCTCTGTGAGTCAGTTACAATTAAAACATGTGCCTACAACTGGTTCTTAAGCCAGCGGAAGGTGGCAGTTACACTGCTTCCGCCTCCATTCCTCCACCTGATGACGAAAAAGGTGCTGGGGCTGAGGAAGACAAAATGGGACACCGTGCTGTGAATTTTTAAAGAACCTGTAGACAGCCGCATGTCGCAGGACACTGATGAACATTAAATGGGGTGAATTCTCTGCGTTTATCCGAAGATGTAACTGTGTTGTGCATGTTTATAGTGTGGCTGCGATAGTTGCCCCTTTTGGCCGATGCAATATTTCGCTTCTATGAGCGCTGACTCGTTGTCTAGAAGATGATATGAGTAGTGAATGCCCTTAGCACACATTCAACGATGACATAGCTAGGACAAGCTGACACCGACTTAGGTATGATACATCGGTTTATTGATATCTTAACACTCACATTGTTGTCCAGTCCTTGTCCTAGTAAACAGCTTTCACACACCACATTACGCTGACTTCAACATGCTGGTTCCTCACGCAGTCACTGACCAGAGTTTGCAAAGATGTATCTGTTTCATCTCCTTGACATTATACAGACTGGCCTGGCTGGTCCTGGCTTCAAACGTCATCTGATTTTCCCTTTCACATCAAGCAATCTCACGTTGACATTCGTACAATCAATCTCCTGTCCTTTCGCTCCGGCAGTTCAACACATACTAACTTGATCCGACTAGGGTCCTTATTATACTACAGGTTAGTTTCACGTGGCAACACATGGTGGTCCTTTACTTCCACATGGCGACCTGCGGTCGCTATCATCGTGTTACCCATGATAACTCGTGGTCATCACCCATCTTGAAAACCTCGTTTAATCCGAGTATCTGGAATATCTCGGTATTTTGGTAAACCTCAGGCTTTTCCCCCAACCTTCCTAATTAGGGTGAAAATATCCCCCATTACAGCCGATACATCCAAACTTCTGCAGGCATTTGTTGACCGGGTTGCTTCGTGGGACACTGCAGTCTCACTGTTGTGTGGTCATCTTTATTTCCCAGGTCACAGGTGGTACCTAAATCCAGAGAAGCCATGTAATGCTGGTCAGCCCTACAGAGAAGGCGGGGACAGAACATGAGCATTGCCCACCATCAGATGAGGCTTCCATAAATGCAGAGCCAATACATGATGCTCGGATACTGGAGCCACCCAAGCAATCTTCACATCCTGCTCATGACTGTTTAGCCTCACTTCCATATAGTGGACATCTCATTCATAAGGGACCATGTCTTTAGATGCCTGCAGTAGGCAGCCTGCAGACCTGGGATTTTCATTACCTGCACAAAATGAGTACTCTGCTTCTTTTGCATATTAGACTTTTACTGCAGTGGACTTCTGCAAATGGGGTGAATTCAAGGAAGGTGACGAAATAAGAAAAGGAAATGTCTGGACAACGCATACAACAACAGTTATCAGAAAAAGAATATGGTAATACATTGTGAAAATCATGAGAAGTGCACCGAGAATCACCTAACAGGCACTGAAATGAGAAACAAAATGGACTGAGGAAAAATGGATGTCCAAGAAAAACCCTGGGACAAACACTACTGAAGAGAGGCTAAAGGTGCTGGACGATTCCCTTCACGATAGTGAAAAAGAACAGAGAGGAGGAGTAGACTGCAAACCCTTCGTGATGTATAAAGGCACAACAGGATGATGATGATGATGACGATAACGTTAACCACAAGTCCATGAGTCACTGGGGCCCCACAAGGCAGGCAGTCATCTATAAGACATGTCAGAGGAGGCAACTAAGAAAAGTTAGCATGAGACTAGCTATCTCTCTGTGTACACAAATCAAATGCAAAGAAGCTGAATTTAGTGTTTGCTCCTTGCTGCATATGTAACCATTCACCTCTCACTAGCTTAACAAAAAGCTGGGTCTGCTGATCCATCAGCATTGCTAATTTGCCAGATCACAGAAAGTTACTTGTTTAGATGGCATGCTTTCCTTAATTGATGATATGTTTGTCTTGGCCATAATAAAACCAGTCTCATTATTAAATTGTTGGATGATGCAATTGGGAAAATTTGGTTCATGTTGCAGGAGAAGTAAGAAAGAAAAATAATATTTCAAATCAGAAGTTATCAGCAATTGCAAGGTCAGTTTATTGACACCCAATGAGCTAAATAAACAAAAATATTTTTCATGCTGTATGAGTAACCGCTCCCCCCCCCCCCCCCCCCCCTTCCAAACAACACTGACAATGTTGAATGCTTACCGTTGCGTCTGAATAACATCACTTTTATTCTGCCTCCATGTTCTGATACAACTGAGGCAAAAACAATGATTGCAGTTCTCCAAAATGCCAAACCTCTTGTCAGATGATGCAGGAGTGCTTCCTGGTCCTTTCTCCACCACATTCTCAAGGCAAATGCCACACTCCTTATCACTGCTAGCCTGAACTGCAAATGCGTGTTCCATCTGCTTCTCATGCTCTTCAATGCACTCCTGTAGAGGAAAACAAATGGAGCACACTACAACACTGGTTTTCAACTAGCTAAGATGTCAAGACACCTCTTTTTTTTTTCAAAGGACTGCCGAGTAATTTATACCTGAAAGCATAAACATTGACATTAACATAGAGGGGTCTGAGTGGTCTCGAGGTATGGCATCCGCCACAGTGCTGGAGGTCCCGGGTTCAAACCATGGTGAAGGCTTGGATTTTGTCACGTAGACTTCTAGTAATTTCCCCTGGTCTCTGGGTGGCAAGACCGGACACCCGTGTGTATTGCTGCTCACGTAAAAAATACTTTTGCAGTTGAAAATAAAAAAAAGAGTAGCCTAACCGTGCTGCCCGGGCAAAATATGGAGTTAAAAATCCACCCAAAGTATTTCAGTATACTAGCCGGTGCAATGGAGCTCGTGCACTGCGCTGAGATTCTTCAGACTTAGGCTTGAGTTAGAAGTAGAAAGGTGCACTTATGGGTTACACCCTTCTGCTGTGATGTTCATCCGTTAAACAAAAAAAAAAAGAATCACACAAATGTTAACACAACACCTGCAGACACCACACTGGACACCTGGCCTAGATGGTTTAAGATGTGTATCACAATCAGTGTCTGGGTGCTAATCGTAACCACTAAGAGCCGTAACTGGAGGTCACTGGTCACCTGCTACCTGACAGAGAACACAAATCTAGAGAGCCATAACTGGAGGTCACTGGTCACCTGCTACCTGACAGAGAACACAAATCTAGAGAGCCATAACTGGAGGTCACTGGTCACCTGCTACCTGACAGAGAACACAAATCTAGAGAGCCATAACTGGAGGTCACTGGTCACCTGCTACCTGACAGAGAACACAAATCTAGAGAGCCATAACTGGAGGTCACTGGTCACCTGCTACCTGACAGAGAACACAAATCTAGAGAGCCATAACTGGAGGTCACTGGTCACCTGCTACCTGACAGAGAACACAAATCTAGAGAGCCATAACTGGAGGTCACTGGTCACCTGCTACCTGACAGAGAACACAAATCTAGAGAGCCATAACTGGAGGTCACTGGTCACCTGCTACCTGACAGAGAACACAAATCTAGAAAACAAGAAAGTACAGGACACTTATCCCACCTTCTGTACATCTGCCATATAGTGCTGGACACATTTGTATAGACTGAGCGGCACTCGCCGGAAGTGGTCAACATTATGGCGGCTGCCTTTACTTTCCAGGACATTACCTGATATCTATTTTAGGCTGCAGGACCCGGAAACCTGGGTCAGTTTATGAATCAATTTACAGGGTTTGAGTTCTGGGTACTCCTGTCAAATCCGGATGAAGAATAAACAGCCTTGGACGACTTAGTCAGAGTTCTCTCCCTTGGCCGCACTCCAAACAGTGATCGGAAAAGCCACAACGAAACAAAGAAGACAGTCACGTCGACATTAGGGCTGCCATTGCTTGGTTGTTTCCCCCAGATCCGGGTTTTTTTCGAGGCTGCAGGGCAATTCTGGGTGTTTTTTTGGGTGTGTTTTGTTTGTTGACGTTTGCCGAATTAAATGCTTTAATGATCGATAAATTTGCGTGGTTAGGGGGTAGGGGTTAGGGTTAGGGAGTAGGATTAGTGTTAGCGGTAGGGTTAGGTTTAGCGTTAGATTTGACAATTTTGACGCCGGAGTTCCCTATAATCGCGCACAGTTCCATACACACACACAAACAATCGAGGGCCTCTGGATGCTGGTCAAACGCACAAATCGTCAACGATTAGGGGCACCAGTCGCACGCTATTGGCGTCATATTTGGCAGAGTTTCAGTGGCGCCACTCCCACAAACATCATATTGTCGGCCAGTATTTCCAAATCCTAAGTCAAAATTTTCACATCTAACCCTAACCCTACCCCTAACGCTACCCCTACCCCTAACGCTAACCCTACCCCTAACCCTAACCCTACCCCTACCCCTAACTCTAACCCAACAACCGCATGATGATGACTACACAACCATTCACAATGCCTCACGAAACCGTACGCAGCCCTACACGCAACCGCAGGATGATAGGTAAGTGTGTCGTTTATTTCGTTTGTTTTCCGATTACTGTTCGGAGTGCGGCCAAGGGAGAGAACTCTAACTCGTCCACGGCTGTTTATTCTTCGTCCGGATTTGACAGGAGAGCCGAGTTCTGTTTCTACCAAGAAGCTGTAAATCAAATTTCTACTTTTCAACACTATATTCGTTCAAACAGGTTATTAAAATTGTGCATAAAACACAAACGTTCAATTTGTGTATGTATAATTGCACATTCTAGGCATCAGAACCGGAAACTTTGATCCTTCCAATGTGGTTATCTTTCTTAATTTACTATTTCTATTTATTGATTGAGGTCGTTTAAGTGTGGATGGTCATAAATTGAGGAGCAGGTGTATTAAAATTATTTTTATAAAGTGTGCATATTATTTTGGTGGAGTATATATTGTGAAATGTTTTTAAAATGTCAAATGAACACACTTAACATTACCAACCTTGATGTGTTGTTCTCTCTTATCTTTATCAGATGGATGCAGCTTGGGCAAGCCACAAAATTCACACACATATGCATGAGCATATGGACATTTATCCTCAAATGGACACCGACCGGACTGTTCGAAGAAAGGACACATCAAATCTGGATCACATACTGTATAAGTTGTTGAATCTTGATGTGGTTGTTGATGTGGCTGCACAGCATTTGCATAGCTGCTGGGAACTGAAAATGTAAAAAAAAAAAAAATGATTATTTAAAAAAAAGAAAACCCGCCTACAATAATGCTTGATAAACAATTATTGTAATACAACTCGAGGAATTTTTTTTTTTAAGTTAGTGGCATATCTTTGACAGGGCATTGCTGTGTACTCCAGCATTTATTGTCTGTTGTGAGGCTTCACTAGCCAATTTTATGTTCAGTAGTTTGACCAAAGCATTTAATAAAGTGAAACGAAGAAATTTGTAGAATTTCAGAAACCTTAAACAATGAATGTAAAGATCTCAGAATAATAAAAAACAAATACTGGCAACAAGAAACAGCCATAAGAATTGACAACCAAGTTAGAACTTTTCAGAATATTAAACAAGGGAAGTGTACACTATCAAGACAAATAATATCACAACAGAATAAACAAAAGCAAAAATGAAATCTGCATCTCACCTGAGCCATGAAACTTCTTCCCAGGAACAAAGTCTTGTGCTTGTGCCCACTTCCCCTCAACATCTCTTCTGCCTCGTCCCCTCTCTGGGTCATGGCTACGCTGGTCTGGTCCTCCTTTTCTCAGGGTGACCATTTGGGAAGATACCTCCTTAAAAGCTGTTCGGCTGCCGTACCCACTCTCATTAGGTCCAGCTGCTGTCTGCCCACGTGAATTGTCTTTGTGTTTGTCAGCTTTTACATGTAAGAATCTACAAATAAAAATAATTTATACGCAGCTGGTATAACTCTTGCAAAATAAACAGTAAACCAAGGCCCATAGCAAATATTGTAGTTTGAGTGTGGAATGTTAAACCATAACATACTTTTTTTTTTCCTTCTCTCTCTCTCTCTCTCTCTCTTTTCCTATTCGCCCTGCAAGTGGTATTCAGATAAGACAAAGGCCTCAGGCTTCTTTGAAGGCTATGGTGTGACACGTCTTCCTTCCACTGATTCATTCATCTTTCGCCAATGGAATGCTAGCTGGCCAGACCTGGGACCTCTCTCATGAATGTGGCGAGCATGTCTGCAGAAAATATTCCCTATTCTGAGGTGACTGTCCGCATTGGCAAAGCGTCCGAGTCCTTAGTCTTGAATCTCTTGCACACATGCTAGCAGAGTCTGTTGCAGTCTCTAACATATTTTAAACCCTGACATTTGGGACAGAGGAGGGGTCAATTCCCCAACTGTTTGTCTTTCCCATTCTAGACAATTCCAAGAATATTGCCTGGTACCCGTTCTTATGATGAGCTGTATGGGTTGGCAACTAACATACAGCTGCTGGAATTGAGCATTGACCACTTTCCCCTTTATGAAAGTTAAGTGACCTATGACCATTTTTGTAATAGCTAAGTTACCTATGATCCCTTTTAAAATAGCTATAAGACCTATGACCCCTTTTGTAACAGCTAAGTGACCTATGATCTCTTTTAAAATAGCTGACACATATCCCAGAAACTGCGTTCAGCCATTAGACCATATTTATGGTCGGGCTATATTGCGGCCCCTGGCAAGAACCAGAGAAGGGCTTCAGATAATGAAAAATTGCATCTCACAAAGAGATGACTAGATTGTTGTTTTACAGGTAGTACTGACTTATGTTATATAGCAGCTCAGTCATATCAGACCAATACTACAACTCAACATAAGAATACTAACATAAACTAACACACATGGTAAACAGCTAACACTGATCATACTATGAGAATCACCAAAACAGTGAACATACTTGCATTTTTTTCCATAGGCACAACAGCCCATCTGATAATATTTGCAGACATCATTGTTCTCTACCGATCCATTGCGCACATGAGGAAAAGAACATTTGTCTCCTTTGGTGCAAGAATTACGCAAGTAGAACCTGCATTTGAAAAATAAACAAAACTGATTTATTTTCCAAGAGACTACTGCATTCACACATATGAGCACACACACACACGGAGGTAGCAAAAAAAGTTAACACAGTAATCACCCAGCAGTGACTGACTGACTGACATTACCCCCCATCAGGACATCACACAAGCGATAAACACCCGATGACACAAAGTGCCACTATGCGGATGAGGATCACCCGTGGAGAGGTCCCAGAAACCGCGTTCAGCCATTAGACCATATTTATGGCCGGGCTATATTGCGGCCCCTGACAAGAGCCAGAGTAGGGCTTCAAATAACGGAAAAATTGCATCCCACAAAGGGATGACGGTACATACTAATTTGCACCCAGCAGTGAAATGTATCTTACATGTAAGATGTTTGATGTCTTTGAATACATTATGGTAGTAATGACTTGCATGGAGTGTTTAAAATAACAATTGGTATAAACATTTTAATATTCATTCATTATCATGTACCCTGCTAAATGGCATAGGCGCTCATGGGCCTCCACTGATCACGATCCCAGGTTGCCTGGAAGAGCTCTCTTGATAATATCCCTTCATGCCATCGTTTGAGCCCATCGAGTATCATCTCTCTTGGCCTGCCTCCACCCCCTTTTCCACTGATTTTTCCAGTTGTCATGATGTTCTCCAATGTCTCTCTTCTTATTATGTGGCCAAAGAACAGTGTTTGTCTCTTTCTTATTGCTGTATATAGAGATCTACTTTCAGGCAATCACTGTTAGTTACTCTGGATGTCCAAGGAAATCATAACATTTGTCTCAGAAACCACATCTCTGTTGCTTCCAAATTCTCCCTAATTTGTTCACTAACATTCCAAGATTCGCTGCCATACAACAGAACAGGCTCTATGTAACATTTTAGCACCCTCATTCTTACATTAAATGAGAGCGATTTATTGTATATTTTTCATTTTCTGAAATTCAGCTGTTGTCTTTAATCTCTGTTATACATTTTCCAAATGATGATATGATTGTTCCCAGATATTTGAATTTGTTGACTTGATTAAGTCTTTTTTCTTCAACTGAGATATCACAATGTGAAGTTATCTTCTTTTATATAACTAGTCCTTTCTTAGCACTCTCCATTCCCACAATATCCAGCAGTTGTTGCAAATCAGTGGCATTTGCAGCTAATTTTGATATTACATCTATTAAAACATGAAGAGATGCATATAGGTTACATGTGATTCATGAAGTTACCACAGGTGCTCAGAGTGACTCCAATTAGCCTTCAGACACTTATTAGTGCGGCAAACTGCTGCTCACGTTATGTTATCCAAAATGTCAAGTTTTTACGTCATCGTTTCACAACCATTGTACAACACATAGCAACTGTAATTTGATCTAAATATGGCATGTAATGATGATGTTTTTAAACAAGTAGTCTATATAAAAATATTTATGCATTTCATTGAAAGATGATTACTGAGTATATATATATATATATATATATATATATATAGATATAGATATAGATATATATATATATACACATACATACATATATATTTTACGGGAAATCCCTTTGACGACTCAACATAATTATTTCAGATTGCTGTTGGTTCTTAAGGAGAAATCCTTAAATCAGGCACGTGACAGGAGCGGTATGTGACACTGGCGAGTACCGCCACCACCAAGAGTATCTCCAAGGCTGCTACGCACGGCGTGGAGTGGGGCTAAACTAGATGGCTGGGACTCACGAGCAGCAGCTACCACATCTCCTGCAGCTTCCTTCATTTTATTTGCTTGTGAGTCCCAGCCATCTAGTTTAGCCCTGCTACACGCCGCACGTAGCGCTATGGAAGATACTCTCGGCGGTGCAGTAGTCGCCAAAAGTCTGCAATTTACATGTGACTGAGGCCCTGTCAGGGTGTGTTTACGGCCACCATAATATCTGCCTGTTATTCGGAGGATAGCCCATATATATATATATATATATATTATATATATATATATATATTTATATATATATATATATATATATATATATATATATATATATATATATATATATATATATATATATATATATATATATATATATATATATATATATATATATATATATATATATGGGAGTCATGTTTACATTATCTGTCAATATTCAATTTTATCAGAGCTGAAATATCATAATAAAAATGACACCTCCACCCTCCTCCATATAAAACACTGTTTACTCTTTATGTTTGCAATGTTGACTACTTACTACTTGTTAAGTGGGTAGTTTTTTTGTTTTGTTTTTGTTTTAGTAAAAGTGCTAGAGTCGCAGTGTATTATCTACAAAGTAAAAAAACTTTACCAGAAAATCAAATCAATTTTCATTCATTACATTTCTCAGCAGATCATCATTTGAAATCGAAAGAACGTAACCCACAAAGATATTATATACAAGGACAATTAATTATGTTTATTCACAAGATAAACAGATGTACAGACATAGACGATGACCAAAAACATCACACTTCAAGGACTATATAAGTATAAGAATAATTTGTTAGATTTTTACATAACTTTATTATGAGGTCACACATGTCTGATAAACAATATTTCAGAAATTATGTATATTTCCCAGAAAGTAAAAAACATGCATACGCAGAAAATAAAACTTAATTTTAACAATGACGACACCACACAACCATAACACAAATAAGTAATTACTAAATTTTAATCAAAAGGCCTCGCTTCTCATTCAATCTTAAGTTGCACAAATGATATTCGGCATGTACTGTGTGATATTATTACACAACAGTGAGCAATTCTAGTTCAGGAAAGATGATCTGTAAACAAAACAAGAGCTTTTGTTGCTGCTTACCTGCAAACTTGGCGGGGTCTGCTGTCGCTATTCCGGTGTCTTGGATCATATCCCCCTTCTGCCATATTCTCGCGGTTATTTTCTGTTCGGTGATTTATAAATTTAGTGTAGGTTTACAACTGTTGCATCACATGTCGATCTAGCAAAGAAAGAAAGCGGCAAGCTGGAAGTTTTAGTCTGAAGCCAGGAGACCACGAAGAACTCGGCGTTCACTCTCCCTGGCTGTCATAAGTGTACCAGGATTTGTTGCCGTGTCAGGAAGTCATTGGTATGCCTGGTTGGTGTTGTTGTGATGTTTGAATTAGTTGAGTCAAGAATTGACATCACAGCACTCGGGGCATTCCTATGCATGCTCCGTCCTCATCTTTAGTAGCCAGCGCAATGTCCAATATTGATGGTGCCGGTCACAATCTGGTTAAAAGTCCCTCTTGCCTCACCTCTGAGTGTAGTGAGCCGGCCAGACCCTCTGTTTACACCCAGGTGCCTCATTCTCTCTAGGCCATAATAATCTTCTTTCTCTAAAGTGATGTTTGAATGTAATGTCCGAATCGTGTAGCAGGTCCTTTGGGTGCAAACTTCAACTGCTCCAACATGCTGAGAGATGAAAAACAATATATAATACAATATGGAAATAAAGTATACTATGCCCTTCAACGTTTGCTAAAGCCAAAATCAAAATATATGAAACGTTGATAAGACCAGTAGTTTTATATGGCTCTGAAACTTGAAGCACAGCTAAAAGAGATAAAGCCTTATTACAGGTTTTCGAAAACAGAGTCTTACGACGAATCTTTGGACCCATCAAAGATGCTAACAGTGGGGCATGGAGAGTAGAAAGCAATAATAAAATTCATAGTTTAAATCACCACTGATCACTGGCATCATGAGAGCTAATAGACTGAAATGGTTGGGGCATATTGAAAGAATGTCAGATGCTAGAGAAGTAAAAACTGTATACACAAGGGAGATGAACTGTCGTAGACCACAAGGCAGACCAAGACAATATGGAGAGAATGTCCAGACAGACCTACAAACATCTGGTGTCACCAACTGGAAAGAAAAGGCCAACCAGAGAGATAAATGGAGACGGATGATATCTGCAGCAATGAACCTCAAGGGCTCGGAATGCTGAAGAAGAAGAAGAAGAATGTTCTTTTCAAGAAAAAAAAAACGTGGTCTCTCTGCAGCCCTCCCACCTCTTGTACTTTCAGATTCAAGGAGTCACCCTTATCCTGTGAGAATCTTCGTGTTGGTCGGCCACTGCCCTCCTTCCTGGTACCATACCTTCTGCTATTATTTTTAAGATCAGAATATATGCTCAAAATGTTAGATAAGAATTTAAGATCTTCTGCTTTCGCCCTTAAAGGGGTGGTTGGCAAGTTGTGTTGGTGGTTACAGCTTGGCTGCGATATGTACGCCTTTGGGCAAAACACACCCGATGTCAGCAAACCTGTATTAGTCGCCTTTTACGACATGCCTTCTAGGGCAGTAGGTATATTCTTTTCCTCCAATCATAATTGGGCCCCGGAACCGACGCGGAACAGAACGTAAGATAATGATGTAAAATAATAATGTAAGATAAGATTTAAAGATCATAATGTAATATCAAAATTCAAGATCAGTGTGAATAACGTTTAACTCCACCAGACCGCACAGCTAGCGACTAACACCCAGAGACACAAAATGTCACCATTCGGATGAGAATCACCCGGGCACAAGTCCCAGAAAGCCCCTGTCAAACGTTAGGTTTTATTAGGACCCCCGTCGACAGCTAGGGTGGGGCTTTAAAATAACAAAAAATTGCCTCCTACAATGGAGAAAAGTTAGCCTACAAGATCAGTTTGTCAGATCAGATTGTCAGGTCGCTTTGTAAGATCATCATCATCATGTAGCAAGTCCTTTGCAGAACGTCGCTCCCATCACAGTCTGCCTGAAAGAAACTCGGTCTCGCGCCAGTTCTCCCGCCTCATGTACTTTCATACTCAAGAAGTCATATCCTGTGCCCATGTCGGTCGGCCCCTGTCCCTCCTTCCCGGTGCCATGCACTTCTGCTATAATTTTTTTTCCAATCCGTCGTGGCGCTTGATATGACCAAAATATTTCAGCTTCCGAGAAAGGATGCTGCTTATTCTTTTAAGATGTCAATATTTCTCCTCTTCTTTGTCCAAGATATTATGAGAAGCTTTCTATAGGATTTCAGCTCAAAAGCCCCTATTCTCTTTCTTAAGGATAGAGAGATAGCCCCCCTATGTAAGATCACAATATTTAAATATGTTTGAACTTTCCCGGTTCCGGCTGGAGTTGTTTTGTTTGTTTTAGTATCCAGAAGCCATGAGTTGTTAACCCTTAGGCTTGGTATTATGGATATCGCAACCTTTCGGCCTTGATTCCATTGTAAATACCGTCAATCTGGGAGAAAATGTGGCTTTCCTGCCTACCCCCGGGATTGAACCCGGACCACAAGGAGTACGTCACCCGGTCTCCGCGAAATCCGGTTTAGCCAATTCCGCTAGAGAGCCGAGCCCGGCTGGAGTTAAAACTGTGAAGCAAAATGCTGGTTCTGTTTCCTAGACTACAAGTAGTCTGGCTATGGAGGTCATGGCAGTGACCAAAGCAATAACATGGAGACGTGAATGGGTCAAGTAGAAAGCAATTGATGTCACTGGTGGCAGAGGATTTAAAGAAAAAAAAAGTGAAATATCATATCACACTATGTGTACATAGTTTTATTTTAATACACGCAAGCAAACGTTTCCACCTAGCATTCCCCCCCCCCCCCACCCCCACCATTTCTTCTTTTGAATTCAACTGCCGACTATGAATATGAACCAATAAAGAGCATACAATGACAGAAAACAAAAAAGACCTTTTCCCGCGCATGCTTTCTAATGGACTCAAGCAAGTAACAGAAAGTATTGTGAATGGCACTCATAAAAAGAAGTAGAAAGATAGAAGAACACACTAGACAACATACAAATCGAAAGCTATAGTTACCGTGCCGGGAATTGAACCTGTCACCTCCAGACGGCGTCTGCGCCTCGCCATGATTTATAATGGACTCAATGAGTATGCTTAGGAACTTAGAGAGGGGCTGGGTCCGAAGACAGTGGCTGGAGTCTCTCATGCGGGCGGGGCTGACACATATCGGTTTCCTATTTGTGACAGGGCACGCAGGTGTGCAAGAAAACTGACAAGCTGATCGGAATGCATGTAAAGCTGCTGTAGAAGGCGGACGAGCCATGGACCAGGCTGAAATTCCAAATGCTCTACGTTTGAGACAACCAAGTGACCAGACTGCAAGAATAGCATGTTAAAAGGGGTGTGGCCAGACAACAGCACGAACGAACGAACGAACGAACTTTATTTTCAAAGGGTCCCAAACTGGGCACGCAGGCCCGTCTTACATTAAGTCCTTCCAAACAACCGTCTTTCACACTGCAGCTCTATTTTATCAATAAGCATGTTATATTTATATAATAACATGCATATTATGAATAAAAAAAATATTTTAAAAATCATGGGGGTAAAATGCATAACACACAAGCGCACACACACTTACTCACCCACTCATTTAAACACACCCACATACCTTAATACACCCCCATTCACCCACATAATACCTACCTGCTTACACAAACACGCACATTCCACACATATACATACATACAGATATACACATGCACACATAGACACACCTATAGAAAAAATGCAGACACACACACAAACATACATTCGCGCACAAACCCAATCACACACACAGATATACACACACAGACATACACATGAGACACACACACAAATCCGCATACACACACACAGACTCACATACGCAGACACACACACACACACACATACATATGCACTAACACAAACAGATACACGCACACAGACACACTCAGAGACACACACACACACCCAATCACAGACACACACACACGCTGATGCTCACGCAGACACACACAGACACACAACCACAGACACGCAGAAGCATACGCAGACATTCATACACACAGGCACACACACAGACACACACCCACAGACACAAACGCAAACACATACGCAGACATGCATATACACAGGCACACACACACAGACACACGCATACACACACGCAGACACACATACACACATGTAAACACACATACACAAATGTAAACACACCCAGAGAAACCACACACAGAGACATGCATACACACAGACATTCACGCAGACACACATACATATACAGGCACATACAAACACACAAACACAACAAAGACACACACACATACATACACACATGCAGACACACATACACACACAGGCACATACATGCTTGAAATATTTTGTCTCTACATGTGTGACGAAATGACCTCAGTGGTCTCAGAAGTTATATTGTGTTTAATAATTTCTTATGTTCAGAGAAGGACAAAGAATTAAAAGCAATAGACACTGAGCCTAAAATAGTTCTAAAACCACTACAAGGGATTTGAGTATTGTTTAAACTGCGTTTCCAATCTCTGAATTGAATTGAATTTAGAAAACAAAAATTGCAAAACTCCTTGACTCTTTCAGTCTGCTCCTGGTTGAGCCGTGACTATATCAAGTCCTTGTTTATGTGCTGACTCTAGGTCGTTTTGTTTCTTGAAGGCGCTTGAGTGTGCCTTGGTTACCGATTTTCTTGCTTGTCTTGGTGCGAAGTAGGCTGCATTGGTGGGGGAGAGCTAAAAGTCCTGAGAAGGACGATTAGCGAGTTCCGGGCGCGGCAGAGTGGGAGATTATCTGGCTGAAGGCCGGTCGCTGTTGATCGGTCATGCCTGGCTGGTTTTTGGCAAGTGGTTTTTCCGGAGCGGTGGGCGTGGTTTGGGGTGTCATGGCGGCTTGGTCATTTTTGGTTGGCTGGTGACTTTGTGGTTTTTCGATGCGGACTGGCTCGTCTGCTGGGTAGGATTTGAACGGTTATTCTTGCTTAATTCTTTCGGCGCCTGTTCGGTGTTCTATGCGTCCATTGTCTCCTCTTTGTCTCTTGTATTCGCTCCTGGGCACCTTCCACCTGCTTGTAGAACCTGTACAGTTTTGACATGTA